TGGCTGGCGTGTCACCGCCGCTGCTCGCCACCGCCGCCCGACGGGTTTGCTTCCGGGAGAACCTTCACGTTCCTTTCCGGGCGAAGTTAGGCAGACCTCTTTACCTGATACCCGGTGGGAGAAACGTCATTTACGGTGATGTATGCACGGCGTCCGTCACCCCCGTAACGTGCCGCTGTCTGCTCCCCCAGCTGAGAGTGCGAGAGCACCCCGCGTCCGGACCGTACGTGGAGGCTCTGTCAGCGTGAGTGCTGGGCTCGGGGGCGCGGGGGCGCCGTGGGACACGGCGGTTCCCCACAAGGGGTCTGGCTCTGACTCTGGGACCCTGGGGACCTGGGGAGTGACTCGCATCCAGCCTCGGTCCCCCCCACCGAACCCTGGGGAGGCCGGCGCCTGGCCCCGAGAGCCACGCACTGGCCGGTTTGCTCCCTTTCACCCCTTCGCTGTCCCCTGAGGTCGGGGCGAGCCTTCCCTCTCCAGCCGCTTGTCGCATCTGCCACTCGGGCTGGAGAGCGGACGGGGTTCATTGGTAAGACCGAAACACGGGGTTCAGTGGTAAGACCGAAACACGCCGAGTCGTTTACTTTGTCCTTGGATGCTCCGAGAGCTTTTCCTAAAGGAAGGGGACAGTGGTTACAGGCGGGTCCCACCCCACTCAGTAACCCCTGGCCTGTGCTGACACCCGCACCGGACCTGCGCAGGGTGTGGGCTCACGTGTGACGTGACTGTTACCGTGTCAGGGCGCCAAGGTGCTCTATCGTATTGAGGAAAAGCACACTTTTGGGTAAAATTAAAGCAGTATTTTATTTCCTACCCGTTAAGAATGGAGAAAATGAGAGATTCTGTGAGAATCACTTTGATAATGTCTATGAATCACCCCCCTGGGACCCTGGCGGGTAACCGTGCGAGTTAAGGGTTAGTGGTATTTTACGGGCACAAGAGTGTGATCATCAGTCACACTGATTCTGTGTTTTCACTTTTGAAAACTAGGAATGTCGTCAGTTCCTACTCTGATATTCAGGTAAGGTCGATTGTATCTTTTCTTTCCATGAGAATCATAATCATGAACATTTATAAGACTGTCTCCTTAATTACTCTTTGTGTAAATAAAAGGTCGCTCTTATTAGGTTATTGTATTTTGTTTGTTAAAGTTTAATCAAAAGAATTACTCGTCTGAACTAAAAATAAAAGTCGACCATCACGTCAGCTTAGAGTTATAGAAATAGCCTTTAAAGGTGGTATTTCCTACCAGCTGGGTGGTTGGATGATATAGTGGAAAAAAATATTTTCTTGGTTTACCCTTGTGTACTTTTGAACTTTTATTTATTATCTATTTATTTATTTTATTCTTTAGGTGAGGCAACCCTTGGTTGACCTCACAGATTGCAAGGAACTTGTCAGCTTACAATCCCTTATTTTTTTTATTTTTTAAATTTTTTACAGCTAGAGCACCTGGTCTTCCTAGGGGGTCTCCCATCCAAGTACTAATCAGGCCCGACCCTGCTTAGCTTCTGAGATCAGACAGGATCAGCCTCGTTCAGGGGAGCCTGACTGTAGACTACTTTTGGAATTTTAAAGCGTTTGGATTTATAACTTATTCACACGCAAATAAAGAAAGCTTAAATATAAAAACCTTCTTATTGCAAATAAAGATAAAATAAAGGTATTTCCTGATTCAGATTTGAGTGACAGAGAAAACAGACAACGGGAATACCAGTTTTTAAATGCTAAAAACATTTACTATTTCATGTTATAAACTTGTAAATGCGTCTGGGTCACCACATGCCCGTGCTTTGGTCCTGATTTGGTCCGGTGCGCTGCGGTCTGTGGAGCGGACCTCCCCTCCCTTGTCTGTTACAGAGCTGGCTGGAGCTGGGGAATAAGCAGCGAGCCACCGCCGCCACCGGCGTGAACGACAAAAGCTCCCGATCGCACTCCGTGTTGACGCTGGTGCTGACGCAGACCAAGGTGCTTATTTTCTTAAATATGATGGTCGATATGTTCAAGTTTCATGTGTTCCTTATTTTTTCCTTTAAATCGAAGGTAAAAGTACATTCATGTAAATAACATTGGATTTTAGGGAACATGCACGATAACTCTGGATCACTTCTGGTATATATGGCAGTATGCTTTCCTCACTTTTTAAAAAGTCAGTAATACATGATTATTTATCATAATATCATTGATATTAATATAATTGTCATCAATAATACACGGTCATTATACAGTATTTGGAAAATCACGTCGGAAAGTAAAAGATTTTTAGAAATCCTGCCATAGGTTTCACTACTCAGAAGCTCTCGGCACTTTGGTGTCTAATCTTTCTTTTACAGTCACACTTAAACAAATTTACAAAACCTTCGACCATTTCATGCTATTAAAATTCTTTACAAAATATTATTTTTCATAGCTGCGTAATACTCCATTAACTATACAATTTCTCGAGTTTTTTTCTACTGTTGGACATTTATGTTGCTTTTAAATACTTTGCTACTTTAGTGCTATGTTGCTTTTAAATACTTTGCTACTTTAGTGCTAACACCACCTCGATACATTAAGCTTTTTACCTATTTATGGTTGTTTTTGTAACATAATTGCGTAGTCGTCGGTATTTGTCTCTTTAAAGTCATTTGTTCTGTTTTGCACAATCCAAGCACTGCTCAGCGTATCCTCCATCATTTGTGTAATAAATTGTCACAGGTTGAGGACGGGGTAGTTTCAGAAATAAGCGAGTCGCTTGTCACTTTCCCTTCTGAAGCCTCCCATGGATGGCAAGTCGTAAAGAACGTATGGTGTGTGTTTTAACACTGTTTTGCTGCAGACGGAATTCGTGGCTGGGGAAGAACACGATCACAGGGTGACCAGCCGCACGAACCTCGTAGACCTGGCGGGCAGTGAGCGCTGCGGCTCTGCACAGACCAGCGGGGAGCAGCTGAAGGTGAGGGCGCCGCTCGCTCCCGGCGGAGCTTTCCAGGCCGTCGGTGGTGGGGGCTCACGAACGAGACACACGTAACCAGGAAAACGTCCATCTTCGCCTGCGGCGTAGAGACCGCACTGCTGTGATTTCGGGAGAGATCCGTGCTTTTTTGGTTATGATGACTTTTCAAAGAACGTGAGTGAATTTTGCATCCTAAGGACGCGGGTGGTTTATGGAAGAAGGTATTTACGCAGTCATCACGTGAGGGAAGGAGTATTCTGGGAAGTTCATTGTGAGCAGTCGTTTGACATCGGTGCATGTTTCTGTCCTGTGTGCAGGAGGGCGTGAGCATCAACAAGTCCCTGCTGACCTTGGGCAAAGTCATATCTGCGCTGTCCGAGCACATGGACCGAAAGAGGGTTTTTATTCCTTACCGCGAATCGGTTCTTACCTGGTAAGTACCTTCTGAAGATTAAAGAATTGTATGAAATGTAGTGGATGCTGTGGGGACTTTGACTTTGGGACAGAGGAGATGTGGGTAGCAGTTCGCATCCCAGAGCCGGCTGCCTGGGTTTGGAGCTCTGCGTCCGTGAGCTCTGAGTTTGGGCAAATCATTGGCCCTTTAGCCTGTTTTCGCTTCTGTAAAATGTCCGTCTTTTAGGGTCGTAGAAAGGAGTAAGTGATGAATACAACACTCAACACACAGTAGGTGCTATATCAGCGTAAGCACCTACTGTGCTTCACATCGTTAGTGCCTGATGTTTGAGCACATACGGCGTCACCAAACATGACTGTGTATGGTAAAGCAGAATAGTTTTGTGTGCGTAGCACACGCCGGCTGGCACGTCACTGTTCAGTGTGTTTTTATCAGTGGAAGCAGAATAGTTTTGTGTGTGTAGCACATGCTGGCACGTCACTGTTCAGTGTGTTTTTATCAGTGCACGTGTATTTCATTTCGGATACATTACAGTTAAATTACCTCTGTATAGACTTAATATCCAGTTCTGATGGGCATCACTATATGATTCTGATAAGGACCACCCCTGTACTTGACAGCCGTGTGTCTTCATAATTGATTTATTATACTGTAATTGCCACCTTAAAACCTGGAAGGGAAAATCTGACTTTTTTTAATGCCTTTTGAAAGTTAAGAACAATAAAATTTATTCTTCATTAATCAAGATAGTCTTTTTAGTCTCATACTTTTTCCCCTCTTAGAATAAGGCTTTTGCAATTGGTAGAAAACAGAATTTACGATCGCATGCCCATCCATCGTTCCCGGCATTTGTGACACCTGCTCCAGGAGGTGGGGCTAGCGTGGGGAGTGCAGGGTGACCCAGACACCGGGCTCTCTCCTAAGGAGCCCCCAGCCCAGTGGGGGAGAGGGCGATGGTTAACCAGATTTAAAATCCGTGTTTCATGAAGCAACGTAAAGATCACAGGAGAAAATAAAGTGTTCGTGAGATCTAAAAACAGCCGAAAGCAGCAAACAGCTGTGTCGGGGCCAGGGGAGCAGTGCCCGGAGCCGCCGCGGCCGGGGCGCGGTGGGCGTGGGGTGCAGTCACTGCTCTCCTCCAAGGCTGCTGAAGGAGAGCCTGGGCGGGAACTCCAGGACCGCCATGGTCGCCACCGTCAGCCCGGCCGCGGGCAGCGTGGAGGAGACGCTGAGCACGCTCCGGTACGCCCAGCAGGCGCGGGCCATCGTCAACGTAGCCCGGGTCAACGAGGATGGCAGCGCCGCGCTCGTCAGAGGTGGGTGCCCTCAGCTCCTAGGCCCCTCCTGCCACGGGTCCGACTCGCAGGCTGGTTCTGGTCACAACGTGCAGCTTAAGAACATCAGAGGTTTTTTCCAAGCCGGTTTGTGATGGAGTCTCGTCGTCATTCTGCATGGATAGGGGGACGGCAGGAAAGGGAGCGAGCAGTCAGGGGGAAACAACCAGAAGGGGCGCAGCAAACGGAGGACGGGCGAAGGGGGAGGTGGCCCCGAGCCGTCGGCGTGCCCTGCATGGCACGGAGGGCGGCGCCTTGTTTCCCTCTGGGGCCCTTCCTCCATGGCTGCTGTTTGCAGCCACCAGCTCCGTGCGGTGGCCCCCGCCTTTTCTGTGGCCGGGGTGGACAGACACGGCAGGCCCGAGGGCCAGGGGAGAACGGGTCTACTGTGCCATGCCCCACGCTCCCCGGGGCCCCGCATTTTCAAGCAGGGCTGTTCCCGGTAGAAACGAGTTCTGAACTCCGCTAGAAAATCCTCTGCCCTTTACCCAGCGCATCTCCGTGAGTCAGGTTTGCCTGGGACAGTCCCAGCGTAACTAACAGTGGCCCCCTTTCTTCTCTGGATGACACGTGGCCATCCCAAGGGGGGCAGCGTGTCTTCAGGTCAAGGCTAGGTAGAGGTTCACAGGTAACGGAAGCGCAGTGACGTCATTCTGCGAACAGTCTAGATCATTCAGTAATGTTGAAAACTTCAGGTGGGAGGTTGCAGGGTTCTCACTGTGGGAACGGTTCTGTATCACACGCTGTCACCCATCTCCCTACACATTCCTAGAGTTGAAGGCTGAAATCGAAAAGCTAAAGGCTGCTCAAAGAAGCCGTCAGAACATTGACCCCGAGCGATACAGGCTCTATCA